AATTGACATCAGTGTGTATATTTTCAAATACGTTTTTTTAGAAACACACAAAAAGCAGTTCCGCGACTCCCATAATATCGACGATATATCCAAACGAATTTGGACACTAGCTTAACATTCCAGCCCATTATCAACATTACATAAAAGCAATTCAACAAAAGGTAGTATCACAACATTAACAAAAAAGATAAAACACAATAAGAAAATCAAAATAGGTACTTGGAACGTGAAAAGTTTCTACCAAGAGGGAAAACTAAAAAACCTAGAAAAAGAAAAAGAACGTTTAAAAATTGATATCATCAGTATTAGTGAAACCCATTAGAAAGCTGTGGCGATTTTGATCAGTAAAGAATTGAAAAACGCTATATCCAGCATAATTTATCAATCTAAGAGAATCATGTTGCTTCAAATCAAGCTAGAAAAGAATTTTATGAATTTCATTTAAGTTTATGCTGCTATTTCAACTTATGAAAAAGCGGTAATAGAAGAATTTTATAAAGAAATCGAAGAAATACTGGATACACTGAAGAAAGAAGATACAACAATATTACTCGGAGATTTGAATGCCAAAGTAAGTAAAATAAAGGTGAACAATATCACAGGTGATTATGGATTGGGGCATCACAATAAAAGAGAAGAGAAGCTAATCAATTTCTGCATATACAAAAAATTTACTATTAAAAATACCATTTTTCAACACCAAAACGCAGATTATATACGTGGGTGTCTGCAAAGAGCTGCAAGGAAAGAATTATTAGAAATCAAATTGTAAAATTAAAGTTCAAGAATGCGATAAAAAATGCAAAAACATACACAGGGGCAAATATTCAATCAGACCACATTCCATTAGTGGCAACAATTAAAGTAAAACTAAAAAAACCTGGAAAGAAAAGCAGAACCAATAAAGGTGCCAATTTAAAACTCTTAGGGAATGAGCAGAACAAAGAAATTCAAAAAAGAAAAATTAATGAAAGAATGTCCGAAATTAAAAACGAATTAAAAAATTAAATAGATATAGGTAAGATATGGGAGTCGATCACAGTGTCATTAAAAGCTACTTGCGTAGTATTAAAAAAAAGTAAAAGTTATTGCCAAAAATGAATGGATGACCGAAGAAATTTTTGAGCTCATGAATCAACGTAGAAAGTAAAAGATAAAAATCAAAGCGCCTATAAGAGAGTCAACAATATAATAAAAGTAAAAATAAGAATAGCAAAGATTAAGTATTTCGAAGAAAAAAGTAAAACAATAGAAAACTTAGAAAAAAATCACAAAACTCATGAACTACACAAAAAAATTAAAGAGTTTACCGAGTCAGGCAAGAAAAACACACTAGGCAATTTGAAAGAAAGAAAGAAAATGACAAAACAATAGCATATCCTTAAGAATATAAGCCGTTCTTGAATAGCATATCCTCAAGAATATGAATCGAGTATATAACAGAGCTTTTTGAAGACATTAGACCGAGTGTTGAATTGCAACAGCTTTCCGGAGGTTATGCCACTCTAAAAGATGAAGTTTAAAGTGTCATCAAAAATTAAACTATGAAAAAATTAAGAAATAACTCAGCATCAGGTCCAGATAGCATACCTAACGAAGTATTAAAATTGTTAGATGACGACGCAATTTCAAGTCAACAAAATATGTGGGATTGGCAAAATACCAAACGAATTGGCTAAAATCGACTTTAATAGCAAATTAGATCATTAATAGCAAATTAGATCATCAAATAGGGGAGACAAAGTTTGGGTTTAGAAGCGGACTAGGTACAAGAGAAGCATTGTTTATGATGTACAATTTATGCCAGAGTTATCGATTCTTCTCGATTTCGAAAAAGCGTTTGACAAAATAAGACACAATCAACTGGAAAAGATATTAGAATAATAGAGCATCATGTTTAGAGTAATAGAGCATCATGTTTAGAATAATAGAGCATCATGTTAAGAATAATAGAGCAAATTGTTGGCATCAAACAGCGGAAATTAGAACAGCAGATGGTACAAGTGAGGCTATGGCTATAAAAAGAGGTGTCAGATAGGGCTGGTGTCTTTCGCCACTACTATTTAATATTTATGCCGAAAAAATATCCCAAGAAACTTTGGAGGACACAGAAGTAGGAATAAGAATAAATGGAAAACTCATCAACAACATCGGTTTGCAGACGACGCAGTGCTTTTGGCGGAAAATATAGAAGGCGCACAGTCTGTTAAATAAACTTGTAAGAAAATGCGAAAAATATGGTTTAAAAATAAATTGCAAAATGACGAAAATATTAACAGTTGAAAAAGGAGGAGAAAATACGAATTGTAACTTCAAAATAAATAACACGGATATCGAAGAAGTTAATAAAATTAAGTATTTAGAAGCAATAATTAATAAAAGTGCATCCACAACAGACGAAATTACATCAAGCCTAGTCCAAGCAAGAACGAAGTTTATAAACATGAGCAATATCTTCACTAAAAGTACAATAAACCTGAAAATAAAATTGAAATTGTTAAAATGTTATATGTATGTATATGGCCAACGCTATTATATGGCGCTGAGTTGTGGACGATTAACAAAAGAGAAGAAGCATAAACACATGCCTTCGAAATTTGATCTTATCGTAAAATTTTGAAGATAAGTTGGATCCAAAAAGTGAAATATGAATAGGTGTTAACAAGATTACAAAATCGAAAGGAGCTTTTGAACATCATCAAAACAAGAAAATTAGCATATCTTGGCCACATTATGCGCTCAGAAGAGTACCAGCTGCTGCAATTAGCAATGTAAAAAAAATTTTAGGCACGAAATGCAGAGGAAGAAAAAGACGTGGGCTGATAATCTAACCAATTGGCTGAGCGTCTAATTTAGTGAAATCTGCAGAGCTGGAAGGTCCAGAGAAGAAATAAAGATGTTGATGTCCAGCCTCGATAGTGGACAGGAAATATAAGAAGAAATATTATTTATAAAACATCAACCAAAATAATAAAGGGTCTGCTTATAAAATTCCTTAGTAATTAATATTCTGTCTGATATAAAATTGAAAAAAACTTTAAAAAGAGAAACAATGAAGTACATACATACATATGTATTTATTTCTCGCAAAAAGAAAACACAGTCTCATTTAAAAAAATCAACCAGACGGAAAAGTTGAAAGAACTTTATAAATAGGTGATGAACGTGAAATTTCAAAACTGTTTCAAACATAAACAAATATTTTTGATTATGCAAAATTTTGATTCTGTGTTATAAAAGTGTGAAGCTTAAAAAAATTCCATTTTGTGCATTTCATTTTATTAAAAAATTTAAAAAAAATATGTATATATTGTTGATGAAAAAAATTCTTGTGAAAAATAAAACCTCCGACATAACCACGAATATGTTCCACAACTGTAAGATTTTAAAAGCTTTTAATTTTTCTTTACAAAAGTTGGAAAAAATCTAAACATTGAGAAAATAAAAAGCCGTGACTTCAATCATGCGCTCACAACGTAAATTTTACAAAGTATCAAGTTCCAAAAAGTTTAGTAAAAGCTTTTGAACTTGATACTTTTGAACAGAACTTTAAATTGAAATTTTCAAATAAACGTCAAGGTTGTATTGATATGGTAAAAATTGTGTTGCAAAATGTACGAAAAGCTTTAGAAGTTTTTTCTACAATGTAAAGGTATTGAAAGCTCTGAGACGGTACTACAACCGTATTAATACCGTACTTAAATCTTTTTTGAAGCATTATTGAAGTCACGGAAAAACGACTTCAGCGAAAATTGCCACTTGGCAGTAGAATGAGGGAACCTCTTAGCGAATACAAATGTAAAACTCTAACTGAAGTATTGTGCTGTGGGATACGTAAATTCGTATACTTCAGTGCGAAAGTAAGGGTTTTTTGAACTCTAGAAGCTCTAAATCACATAGTCGACACGTTACCCACGATATTGAAATGAAATATGTATATATTTTAGTCCAAGAAAAAATATTTGTGTATATTTTTTTTACATAAAACCACGAGAAAATCTATGAAAATCTATGAATATCTAGACTACTTGACACTGTTCCCTAAAAGTCCTCAGGAAATGAAACTTATTATTTTAACTGACATTACCTTTTCCAAAAAGATACTATTTTGTTCGTGTAACATAAATATACGTTTTCTTCCTGTTGTGTTACTCTTTATTCTTAGTGCAACTTTTATTACTTCTCTGTATGGGCGGCTTGTTAAAGTAATCAAAATTTGCATATTTGAGAAAAATGAATTTCAAAGTTTTGGAGTTAATATAATTTTATACTTACAGCATTAGTTTATTATTTGTTGTTAGCGAAGTGAGAGAATTTTTAGCATTTTTAGCTTGACATAACTAAAATATTTCTGTCAGCCGTATTTCTTACTCAAAAAAGAAATGTTTTAAGTCCTTATTTCGATAAAAATATCTTACCCAGCATTTACACGTACAAGTTACTTGCAAGAAAGTTGCAATACATACAAAAATTTTACTAACACATTGAAATATTTCTACTTGCTTGTTTACTTGCAGTTCAACTTGCAAGAAAATTTTGCTGCCAGTAATTTGAGCAAGTAATTTGACATATTGAGAAATTCACAAAAAAAAATTTGTTTTGATTTTTTTTTTTTTTTAATTTAAAATTTTTGAATTTTGTTTTGAAAAAATTAAACTTAGCAAACTTATGGTTTCTAAAATTTATAAACAATTATATATATTGCTAGTTGTTTTCTTCTCAAAGACATTTTCAAAAATTAACTTGCTAAACGCCTACGTCATAATAGCAAGTAATTTGACATTTCGAAAAACTAATTGACAATTAATATTATACAAACTTGCATGCAAGTAACTTGTATGTGTAAATGCTGGGTTAGAAATCAAATTTTTTTAAGATATGTCTAGTTTTACGGTTTCTTCAATTTTTGTTTAAAAATCGATGCTATGAAATATCGGTTGAAACTCATCATCTCTATAAAAATATCAATTTCTCGTATCGATATATATGTATATCGGTATATCACTGTCCCTTGTCCACATGCCAAATAAATAGAAAATCTTTTATTTATGTATAATTTTGAAGTGGTACATATTTTATAGAGTAAACATGAAATTTTTCATAATAATATATATTTACTCCCAAATAACTGCTGTAGTATATAGTTGGGATAACGATGAATTAGAAATTTTTGATCTAGTAGAAGAAATCAATAGAAATTTTTATGATATGCTAGGATTGGAACAGGTATTTTAAAATACAATTTTTGCCATTAAATGTTCCATAAGGAAATTTTTAGGATGCAAGCGCACAACAAATTAAAAAAGCATTTCGTAATTTGTCTGTTATGTTACATCCAGACAAAAATAAGGCTTCAGACGCGAATATTCAATTCAGGAATATTGTAGCCATATACGAAGTACTAAAAGATTCTTCCAAAAGGGAAAAATATGACAAAGTATTGAAAGAAGGGTAATAAAATTTTTTAAAAAGTTATTTCATTTGAAATCTTACACAGGCCTTTTTAGTCTTCCAAACTGGAAATCTGCTTTATTCTATTATAGAAGAGTAAGAAAATTAGGTCTAGCAGAAGGTACCTTAATAGTTTTTATCGTATTTTCAATTGGCCAATATCTATATGCTTGGGCTTCTTTCTTGGAAAAAAAATATACAGCAGTAAGTTTGAATGAAATTATGGAAATTAAATTACTTTAATCCGTTCAGTATATCTTTTATGCTCGTGATCAAACTGTCATTTTAGGAACAAATTTTAGAATCAAAATTGAAAAAGGTCCCTAAAAAAAAGAAGAATGAAGTTATAGAAATCATGTTTGACGATATTTCATCTCCAAATATCTGTGTAAGTATTTTGTAAATACTTATATTTTTATACCTATAAAATACTGACATACATACATAGTTAATTCTGAATTAAAAAAGCTTAACTTGGATTGCCCTATTATGAACTTCGTTCGTAGCTCTGAAATTCGGAAAATTACAAATATATTGTCAATTATGAATTACAAAAATACTGCTCCGGATATTTGTAATGGAGTAATCAAAAATTACCCTCAAAAATCTGCGAAAAATAATCACACGTAACAAGCAATTTAAAGAGAATGATCGTATTATATTTCCAAGTTTTGAATTTCTTTATTTGAGTGTGAGTTATTCTAACACAGCTACCATTCATGGTTGTAAATTCATATTGTCAAAACAATTTTTTCTCCACTTTTGAAAACTATTCAAAAATTAAAAAAACGGGAAAACTTACAAAATGGGTATTTTAAAAAATATCTAATAGCAACAACAAAATAAAAACTTTAAAAACTTTATAAAGATTTTGCATGCAGTGTCTGGATTCTGGGATAATATTTTTTGAACAAAAATGAGTGAAAATTATAACATTCTCATTTTTGCAAGGTTTAAAGTTTTTTCAAGTTTTGTAAAGTGAAATTTAATGTTTTAAAAATTTAAAATCTTACAGCTGTCAAAACGTATGTTTTTCTTGGTTATATCAAAAGGTTTTATTTTTAGAAAAAAAATTTTTCATGAACATTAACTTTTTTTCAAAACTTTTTAATTAAAAATAAAATAAATAAAATGGATTTACAAATGGTTTTTTCTAAGTTTCACACTTATAATCCAAAATCAAAATTTTCGGCTTTTGGTATAACCAAAAAATATATGTAAAAAATATTTACGTCTATCACATATTTATAAAGTTTTTAAGGTTTTTCAAGTTTTCTGGTTTATTTTTTTTTTTAAATGAGAATTCTTTCTTTTGGCGAGAAATTTCGTGATTGTTTCTCTTTTTAAAGTTTTTTTCAAGTTTTATCTCAGCCAGATCTTATATAAATTTACACACTTTAGTTCGACTACAAATGAGCTCAGCTCAAAAACGATGAACCAATGAATTCAGTTTAATTCGTAGGATTCTAGGAGTGGAATTCATGATAGAGCTGACTGTATTGTTCAATTTCCAAAAAAAAGTCAAACACAATTATTTTTATAGGTAATCTAAGATTGTTAGAGAACATTTTGTTTTTTTTTTTCAAAGCTTTTTAATAAAACAATTAAATAAGAGTTTATTAAAATTCTAACAATAAAGAACTAAAAATTTAAACATCGAAATATGTATTGTTAGCTGTACTTACACTGCTTCTCAATATGTTTAAGCAAAAAGTTTTTTTTGTGTTTTTAGAATACACTGCCTTTTCAAATACCACTATTTATATGGAACGCTCCACGAAAAATTAAAAATGCATATAAAGAATATGCCGAATTCCGTCACCAGGAAATAAAACAGAAGAAAAGGTAATTAAATTCTCAATCAATGGTTTTAAACTTTGATGTTCTTAATAATAGGGAAGAAGAGGAAGCTAAAATAATTGATATGCAAAAGACACAGTTATATGAAGAAAAATTAAAGTTAAAAGAATTAAGAAAACGTAAAGTTATTGAAAGACCCCCTGAAAAAAGTGATGCCGACTTAGAAGGCTACTCACAGCTTAAGAAACGAGATTTAAATCTTGGTGACATTGTTAAACCAGTAAATGAAAAGGTAATTAACATTTTACAATTATTTATTTTTTTATACCATGTAAAAATTACATGCACACATTTGTATATGTACATATGTATATCTATTTGTGTTTATGCATGAACAAATTCTCAAGTAATTTGACTTTTTCACTGAAAATCAAGGTGCAAATCAGCGGAGGATTTTGGACAGATGACGATATTGCGCAATTAGTTAGTTTAGTGAAAAAATACTCTTCTGGGGTTCCGCGAAGATGGGAAACAATATCTGAAATAATGGGCCGTTCAATTTCCGAAATAACATTTATGTCCGCAAAATTGAAAGAAAACAGCTATAAATCTTCAATTAATTCAATTGATATGGCAACACCGAATATGGGGGAAATTCCGATAATACCACTCGAAGGCAAAAAAACTGGAAATGGAAATATATTTGTACCACAAAAAGATTGGTCACAAACTCAACAAAAAGCCTTAGAAGATGCAATTACTTTGTATAAAAATTATCCACAAACTGAAAAGTGGATCAGAATAGCGGAATACGTTCCCGATAAAACAAAAGATGAATGTCAGTCACGCTATAAATTTTTAGTACAATTAGTTAAAACTACAAAAAGTAGTAAAGACAATGATGGTAATAAATTAAAACAGAATAATGGTACACAAAGTGATAGCGCTGAAAATTCAGAAAATTCTGATCATCTACAGGGTAATGATTGTCTTGATAACACAAAGACTTTAATTGAAAAGAAATATGGTGGAAAAAAAAGAAACTTGCGGAAGCAAAGGAAAAAAATTGATGCTGAACTATACGAAGACAGTGACATCTCATGTTGAAATACATGTTTAAATTTTTGTAAAAAATATAAAGATTAAATAAGATCGAATTTCAATATTAAACTGCATTTAATGTTGTTAGTATGTTTTTTCCATTTTCATTAACCTAATCGTATATCGCACCTTGTCATCTTAAAAAAGAATTAATGATTAGTAAATATTATGTACATAAGAAGTATTTTTTTAAATAATTTTAGAAATAGTATCTTAAAAATTATATATACAGAAAAGTTCAGAATTTTCTAAACTGTCTACATTAAAAAACCTAATGTCCTTATATCTAACAAGTCCCAATGCTAAGAGAGAAACTTGAAAGCACGACCTTATTTTATATGTGTTTTCTTTAAATCGAAGTGGCTAGTTTTTGAGAAGAAATGTTAAAATAAATTCACACTTATTATAAAACAGGTAAATTTTCGAAAATATATTTAAAAAATCAAATATATTAATATTTTCATTCATAAATACCGTGACTTCAATCATGCGCTCATGAAGTAAATTTTACAAAGTATCAATAATGTCTTTATATCTAACAGGTCCCAATACTCAATTTTTTTTACGAAGTATTGCGAATTTTTGCTTTCGTTCCGTTTTTTTTCTTTAAATGCCACTGATCGTGCCATATTTCTTATTATTTTTTTTCTTCTTTTTACGTAAAAAAGAATTTAATATTTTAAAAATCTCAGAATATTATACACATTTTTTAAAAAGCTTCCCATTTAAATTCTATTGCACGAAAAAGAAAGAAAGGTAGGAGGAAAGAAAAAATGTAATGTCTTTATATCTAACAAGTCCCAATACTCATTTTTTTTTACGAAATATTACGAATTTTTGGCTTCGTTGCTGGTTTTTTCTTTAAATGCCACTGATCGTGTCATATTTTTTATTATTTTTTTCTTTTTTTTTTAACGTAAAAAAGAGTTTAATATTTTAAAAAATCTCAGGATATTATACACATTTTTTAAAAAGTTTCCCATTTAAATTCTATTGCACGAAAAAGAAAGAAAGGTAGGAGGAAAGAAAAAATGACAAAAAATTCGAATTTCATATTTAAGTATGGTTTCAAATGTTAATGAGGAAGGATGTATGATTTTTTATACATATTTTGTATTTCCCAATAAGGTAAGTTGAGTAGTGTCGGCTAACAAAAATGTCAGTAAAAGTAATATAGGTTGACACATTTGAACAATTTGAATTATCTCATTTCGGTTATTTATACATTACTTATAAAATTGTTTCAAATAATTTCAGTTAGTTTTTAATTTATTAAAAATAAATATGTATGTACCTACTTCCAATAAATTTTTTTTTAAATAATTATTTTAAAACTATTTCAAACATGTTATAGGAGTATTGAGTGCTTCAAAAATTTTGTTGTGCTCTTCTTTCATATTTTATTAGCAGCTAAACAAGAGCAATCTATTTATAAAATGGCCCTGCCTGTGTATGAATCTTAATAGTAAACGCAAACGGACAAAAATTTACATCAGTACCTACTACTTGTCATTTTATAATCGGAGTTTTTGAATCATTTGCTAAGATAATATTTATTTCAAAAATAAAAAGATATTTGAATCCGGTCATAAAAATATATTATTGTCTTTTCCAAAACCTTTTAAATATTTTTTTACTTAGGTAATATAATAAGTTTTAAAAATTTTTCTCAAAAAGAGGTAAAATTAAGAAGTGGATATAAAATGTGTATTTAAAAAATAATATTTGATTGTATTTTAGATATTATTTTCTAATTCCCTCTTCAAATTTTTTTTTACTATGTATTTATATCAATATTTAATAATTATCTTTCATTAATTATATTTTCAACTTGACACCCCAGGTACGTCCCATATCTTGAGTTAACCTATGAGAAAAAAAAGCTGTTCACTTAAAAATAATGAAATGCTTTCAGTAACATATAAAACGTTGAAGGCGAAGGTTGTGCTTGTTGTTTTTCCGCTTTTTTTAAAATTTTAAAATAATTATCACTGAAAATATTAATATATTTTTTTGATTTTTCAAATATATTTTCTAAATATTACCTGCTTTATAATAAGTGTTAATTTATTTTAATATTTCTTCTTAAAAAATAGCCACTTCGATTTAAAAAAACCCATATAAAATAAGGTGTGCTTTCAAGTTTCTCTCTGAGCATTGGGACTTGTTAGATATAAAGATATTAAAACAATGATAAAAAATTTCAAATTCACATTTCAGTATGGTTTCAAATGTTAATGAGGAAAGATGTAAGATTTTTAATGTACATTTTGTATTTCCTAATAAGTTAAGCTGAGTAGTGTCGGATAACAAAAATGTTATTAAAAGTAATATAGGTTGACACATTTCAACAATTTGAATTATCTCATTTCGGTTATTTATACGTTACTTATAAAATTGTTTCAAATTATTTCAGTTAGTTTTTAAGTTACGAAAAATAAATATGTATGTACCTACTTCCAATCAATTTTTTTTTTAAATAATTATTTTAAAACTATTTCAAACATGTTATATTGAGTGCTTCAAAAATTTTGTTGTGCTCTTCTTTCATATTTTATTAGCAGGTAAACAAGAGCAATCTATTTATAAAAAGCCCTGCCTGTTTATGAATCTTAATAGTAAACGCAAACAGACAAAAACTTAGGGATATCAGTACCTACTACCTGTCATTTTACAATCGGAGCTTTTGAGTTATTTGATACTATTTATTTCAAAAATAAAAAAGATATTCGAATCCGGTCATAAAAGTATATTATTGTCAAAGAAATTTGAGATCATTCAAAAGTCTACGTTGTATGTACGTTCGTAAAGCTGGATTCACTGGTTCGTCGCTATCGCGATGAATTGATGTATTTTTTATGAAAATTTGATTTTTTGACATTCCCTTTATTTTTAGTACAACTTTTTTCTCTCTCAAAAAGTTGAATCAACTTCAACTTAAGTGCAGAGGTTTTTTAAAACGTGAAATTTGTGTATATTGAACTATTGCGAACGATCTGCTTTTTTCAGATGAACGAATGAACAATCAAGAGAAAACAAGTTCGACTACAAATGAGCTCAGCTCAAAAACGATGAACCAATGAATTCAGTTTAATTCGTAGGATTCTACGAGTGCAATTCATGATAGAGCTGACTATATTGTTAAATTTCCAAAAAAAATCAAACACAATTATTTTTATAGGTAATCTAAGATTGTTAGAGAACATTTTGTTTTTTTTTTTCAAAGCTTTTTAATAAAACAATTAAATAAGAGTTTATTAAAATTCTAACAATAAAGAACTAAAAATTTAAACATTGAAATATGTATTGTTAGCTGTACTTACACTGCTTCTCAATATGTTTAAGCAAAAAGTTTTTTTTTGTGTTTTTAGAATACACTGCCTTTTCAAATACCACTATTTATATGGAACGCTCCACGAAAAATTAAAAATGCATATAAAGAATATGCCGAATTCCGTCACCAGGAAATAAAACAGAAGAAAAGGTAATTAAATTCTCAATCAATGGTTTTAAACTTTGATGTTCTTAATAATAGGGAAGAAGAGGAAGCTAAAATAATTGATATCGATGGCAACCAAGTGACACCACGTAAATCGAAAAAATCACTTTTTTTTTTTTTTGAGTATTTAGATAAAAAATTACCTATTACATAGTTCTACTTTCAAAAATTATCATATTTTACTAAATTTATGCTTAAAAATGATAATAGTGACATCTCGTATATAATAGATGTATTAAAATACAATAGTGACAACACGTAAAATAATTTACTTAATGTCACTTGGTTTAAAGTAAACACAAAAATAGTTTTTCCCCGAATATACGAATTGTCACAATGATAATTTCTATTTCTATTAGTTAAGTAATTTTTACTAGTTGATTAAAAAAATAAGGTAATACGAGTACGTGAAAATTTTGTTAGTTAAAAATTATTTTGAAAAGAAAATTTTTTATAGATTAAATAAATAGTAAGCTACTACAAAGCAAAATGAGTTTAGATTATATTTTGAAGGAAATTATATTTTGAAGGAAATATATCCACTCTAATTTCAGAGATACCTGTTAAAACCAGAAAATGATCTGACATAGCACCAAAACGTAATTCTTCTTACGCTTATACTATTAAAATAAAAAATGATAAACCTATCTGGTCTGTAAAAAAATGTTTTTATCGACTTTTTCCCTAGGGGAATATCAAGTTCGAAAATGGGCTAAAAGTGCAAATAGTTCACCTACTACTAGTAATAATAATAATAATAATAATAATAGTAATTATCTTAGAATCAACAGACACTTAAAAACTATAGAAACTGAATATTTGCAGAATTTTTTTCACAAAATTCCTAAATTACCATCCCATTATTGCAGAAAATATTCTAAAAAACTATATGTCGAACCAACATTTTCAAATACTTTTAATAGTTTATATAATGAATACAAGAAAATTCGCGAACTTGATGAATATTATAATTTACAGCCTTTGTCCGTAACTAGTTTTAAAAGACAAGCTGAAGAAGTTAATTTGGGATTTTCTTACAATCCCTAAAAGTCTGTCCTATGATGAACGCATCTGCACTATTTAATAAAACAAAGCTCTGTTGCTACAATTTTACCATCTACGATTTGAACTCATGTAATACAAAGTGCTATTGGTTTGATGAAACCCAAGCTGATCTCTCTGCAAATACTTTTGCATCATGTGTCATTGATTATTTGCTAGAAAAATGTCAAGACTGCGTTAATAATGAAATAATTATTTGGAGTGATAACTGTGGATACCAAAATAAAAATGCAATTTTATCAAACGCTCTTTTGACGTATGCTAAAGAAAAGCATGTCACTATATATCAAAAATTCCTAGAGAAAGGGCACACACAAATGGAGGTAGACTCTGTCCATGCGTGTATAGAGAAAAAACTTAAAAACAAAAATATTTATGTCCCACATGATTATTGTTCAATAACTTTAAAAGCACGGAACCAACCCCCATATGAAAATAAAAGATTGGACTATGATTTTGTAAAAAATTATAAAGATTTGGTGTTCTTTATCTACCTCCCTTAATCCAAAAAAAAAATTAGCCGTACATGACATAAAAGTAATTAAATATAATTCAAATGGAATTGAAATAAAAACTACATTTGATGGTGAATGGACCCCACTTCCTTTAAAGCGAGGTAACTCAAATATGCTGAACTCTGCAAAACTTTCTAATTTCCTTCAGATTCACAAGGGGCCCCTTAAAATTCAATATCAAAAATGGGTTAATTTGCAAAATCTAAAAGAAGTCATGCCAAAAGACTATCATCAATTTTATGACAACTTACCACACAATGAAAAATAACTTTTTTTTATTTTTATTTTGTTTAATTTATTGAAGTTATGTTTCTTTTATGTTTTTTAAATATTTATATGTTAAATTTGAATAAGTTTTTGTTTAAAATTTGATTAACACCATATTAGTCTAAAACAAATTATTTAGAGTTTTTTTATTTTCATTATGTGACAACTCGTAAATCTGATATATTTGTTGAAAATAATTGTTGTGACATCACGTAAATCCAACAACTTCCAAATTTAATTTTTTTTTTTAATATTTTTTTTTTTTTAGATATTTGTGCATTTTTTGAGTAAAAAAATAATTACAGATTTATAAATTATAATATTTCCAAGGAATAAATTAGTTTTTTTGCTCTCCTGTAAAATTTCAATATTTTGATTTACGTGATGTCACTTGGTTGCCATCGATATGCAAAAGACACAGTTATATGAAGAAAAATTAAAGTTAAAAGAATTAAGAAAACGTAAAGTTATTGAAAGACCCCCTGAAAAAAGTGATGCCGACTTAGAAGGCTACTCACAGCTTAAGAAACGAGATTTAAATCTTGGTGACATTGTTAAACCAGTAAATGAAAAGGTAATTAACATTTTACAATTATTTATTTTTTTATACCATGTAAAAATTACATGCACACATTTGTATATGTACATATGTATATCTATTTGTGTTTATGCATGTACAAATTCTCAAGTAATTTGACTTTTTCACTGAAAATCAAGGTGCAAATCAGCGGAGGATTTTGGACAGATGACGATATTGCGCAATTAGTTAGTTTAGTGAAAAAATACTCTTCTGGGGTTCCGCGAAGATGGGAAACAATATCTGAAATAATGGACCGTTCAATTTCCGAAATAACATTTATGTCCGCAAAATTGAAAGAAAACAGCTATAAATCTTCAATTAATTCAATTGATATGGCAACACCGAATATGGGGGAAATTCCGATAATACCACTCGAAGGCAAAAAAACTGGAAATGGAAATATATTTGTACCACAAAAAGATTGGTCACAAACTCAACAAAAAGCCTTAGAAGATGCAATTACTTTGTATAAAAATTATCCACAAACTGAAAAGTAGATCAGAATAGCGGAATACGTTCCCGATAAAACAAAAGATGAATGTCAGTCACGCTATAAATTTTTAGTACAATTAGTTAAAACTACAAAAAGTAGTAAAGACAATGATGGTAATAAATTAAAACAGAATAATGGTACACAAAGTGATAGCGCTGAAAATTCAGAAAATTCTGATCATCTACAGGGTAATGATTGTCTTGATAACACAAAGACTTTAATTGAAAAGAAATATGGTGGAAAAAAAAGAAACTTGCGGAAGCAAAGGAAAAAAATTGATGCTGAACTATACGAAGACAGTGACATCTCATGTTGAAATACATGTTTAAATTTTTGTAAAAAATATAAAGATTAAATAAGATCGAATTTCAATATTAAACTGCATTTAATGTTGTTAGTATGTTTTTTCCATTTTCATTAACCTAATCGTATATCGCACCTTGTCATCTTAAAAAAGAATTAATGATTAGTAAATATTATGTACATAAGAAGTATTTTTTTAAATAATTTTAGAAATAGTATCTTAAAAATTACATTACACGAATAATTTGGTAATCGTTTACTTTTCACATTTCTGAGAGTTTGCAGTTATATATACAGAAAAGTTCAGAATTTTCTAAACTGTCTATATTAAAAAAACTAATGTCTTTATATCTAACAAGTCCCAATCCTAAGAGAGAAACTTGAAAGCGCGACCTTATTTTATATGGGTTTTTTTTAAATCGAAGTGGCTGGTTTTTGAGAAGAAATATTAAAATAAATTCACACTTATTATAAAACAGGTAAATTTTCGAAAATATATTTAAAAAATCAAATATATTAATATTTTCATTCATAAATACCGTGACTTCAATCATGCGCTCAGGACGTAAATTTTACAAAGTATCAAGTTCCAAAAAGTTTAGTAAAATCTCTTGACATTGTACACTTTTCTTAAATGCGTTTTATACGTAGTGGAGATGCAAAATAAAAATTAATCGGGTATCGAAAAAATCGAGCACGCTTTTTTTATACCTTGTCATATAAATGTTGCCAGAAATAACCGATAAAATAAACTAACATATATTTTCAGCAATAAAGTTCTAGTTATCAATTTTTTTCCCAAAATGCAGCATAAAAATGCTATGTTTTTAATGAAGTGGTAACGTTTGTTAAAAATTAACAATTGCACAGAGCTTTAAATTCAAATTTTCAAACAGACGTCAAATTATGTATTAATAATGTCTTTACTAATGCCTTTACTAATGCCTTTACATCTAAAAAGTCCCAATACTTAATTTTTTTTACGAAATATTATGAATTTTTGGCTTCGTTCCTGTTTTTTTTAATAACACTTATGGTTTTTGTGGCATCAATAATAATAAATAATAATAATAATAATAATAATAATAATAATAATAATAATAATAATAATAATAATAATAATAATAATAATAATATTAATAATAATATTAATAATAATAATAATAATAATAATAATAATGATAATAATAATAATAATAATAATAATAATAATAATAATAATAATAATAATAATAATAATAATAATAATAATAATAATAATAATAATAATAATAATAATAATAATAATAATAATAATAATAATAATAATAATAATAATAATAATAATAATAATAATAATAATAATAATAATAATAATAATAATAATAATAATAATAATAATAATAATAATAATAATAATAATAATAATAATAATAATAAAATAATAATAATAATAATAATAATAATAATAATAATAATAATAATAATAATAATAATAATAATAATAATAATAATAATAATAATAATAATAATAATAATAATAATAATAATAATAATAATAATAATAATAATAATAATAATAATAATAATAATAATAATAATAATAATAATAATAATAATAATAATAATAATAATAATAATAATAATAATAATAATAATAATAATAATAATAATTAATAATAATAATAATAATAATAATAATAATAATAATAATAATAATAATAATAATAATAATAATAATAATAATAATAATAATAATAATAATAATAATAATAATAATAATAATAAATAATAATAATAATAATAATAATAATAATAATAATAATAATAATAATAATAATAATAATAATAATATAATAATAATAATAATAATAATAATAATAATAATAATAATAATAATAATAATAATAATAATAATAATAATAATAATAATAATAATAATAA